CCCTCCCCTGTCCTGGTCCACTCGTATTGTCAACTTGGCACTACCTAGAATTATCTGGGGGAAGAATCTCACTTAAGGAATTGCCTAGACCTAGTTGGCCCGTGAGTATGTCTGTGAGGGACGATCTTCATTGTTCACTGATGCAGGAGATCATCATGGGTCCCTGCTGTGGAATTCTCTAAGCACAACCGTTGCTACCATCTTAGTCAGGATATATGTGATTACCTCTGAGAGACCCTCAACAAGAGCCGTCGTCACCCACAGACTTTCCCTTCTAGGAGTTGGGGGGAGGTCACTAGACCTCACCTGAGATTCTAGTCCCTGCACTCTGTCCTGCGCAACTCTGATCTCAGGATCTATGTGTATAGAGTGTGCAGTTTCCAGGGGCAGCGGGGTGGTACCAACCCTCCTGTAAGCACCCTCTCATCCATGGTCCTGTAAGTAACTCTGTAAACTCATTGGTTCAGCAGGATGGATTTGGAGGGAATTGTAACTCTTGTCTGTCATTGTTGCCTTCTCTGGGGTGAGCAGGTGCCCACATCTCCCCAGGAGAAGCTCACACAGCCATCGCAAAGAGGGAACTTGAGCTATTTCACCCGCAGCCAGGCTCCATACCGGCAACTCCGTGCCCCACTCCTAGCCAGGCATCGAGGTTAATTCCCGGCTGCCAGCCAGTATTTAACTTTCCACTTAAGATTAAACATTGGATTTGTAAAAGCCCAGGGCTGCAGACTCCAGTCAGTGAGGGTTTACTGGGTCTCAAGCTGAAAGCGCCCAGCCTGCTGAGATTTGTGTAGTCCTGAGAGCTCACACCAGCAAGACGGGCAGAGCCTGGTTTTCAGAAGGCCTCCTGCTTTGCTCACGCACGTGTAGGTAAGTTTCATTATACAGCTTTTAAAAAGAGACTTATGTAACTTTTTCCCTTTTCCTTATTTCAGAAAATTGAATGCACACACACACATGCGCGTGCACACACACGCGCGCGTGCACACACACATGCACGTGCACACACTCGCGCGCGTGCACACACACATTCTGGGCATGCTTGCCTTCCTTCCCTCTAGACCGCCTCCCTCCCTTCCGAACCTTTCCTTGTTCATCTCTTCAGAATTGCCTTCAGATGAAAATGTTGAAGGTGCTTTTTTAAATGAAGGATTCATGACAAATGTAGGTAACTATATCTTTTTCCATAAAAACTCATGACTTGGCTGTCTGTTGTTGGCGCGTATAAGGGTAGTCATCACCATATTTCAAGCAAAGAAAGCTTTGGTCATTAGGGTCAAACGTGTGACTTTCCTTGTCACGTCTAGATTGTCCTTGGCGGTCACCTCATAGAGCTGTGGTAGGAGGGCCTGGAACTGGGGGATCATTCAGTGATCTAGAGACGGGGCACAGCCAATGGTGATCTAGAGACGGGGCACAGCCAATGGAAGCATGCAAGCTCAGGCTCTGCTCTCAATCCTTGGCCTTTACGCAGCTGAGCCAGCCAGCCACAGGAGCCGAAAACATGGTTACCACATTGTGTGGCCTCCGCTAGGACAGGCTGAGTACTGGACATTGGTCTCGGTCAGTTCTAGCCCAGGCACAACAGCCTTTGAGAGCCCTGATCTTAGACAGACCTAAGTGCTAGGCTGTGGTCGTAACCCCGCCAAAGAGCAAGCGGGTCTCTGTCCTCTGGGCACCCAGCCTGTTCAGTAAAACCCGTTTAGTGGGGATAACACTTCCCGCTAGGTGGAACCACGTGATGCTGACCAGTTAGACCTGCGTAGACCTAAGGCAATCTCATACAGTTCAAATGACTGCACACAACTGTTCTCTGGGTATTACTAAAGTAAAATGCCTCCCTTGGGACTTATAAGGGGCACGTACGTGTGCCAAATATGGCGGCTGTTTATCAAGTCAGTGGTTATTCTAGGAATCAAAATTTAAATTAACTCCTTTATCATTTTTAATGATAGCTTGCTATTATCCGTTAGAATCTGGAGATTTTTCAATTGTTTGTAATTTGTATGTGAGTTTGTGTGTGCATATGTGTGCGTGTGTGCATGTGATTACAGACCAGACGTACCACAGAGCACAAGTGCAATTGGAGGACAGCCTCAGTGTACAGTTCGTCCTCACCTACTTCATTTGGAACACAGTCTCCTGTTTGCTGCTGTGTTCTCCAGGCAAAGCGGCCTGTTAGCTTCCCAGGATCCTCTGGTATCCCCCTCCCATCTCACCCCAGGAGTGCAGGGACTACATATGCACGCAAGCGCTACTGTGTGCAGCTTTACATGCATTGGGGGGGATCCAGACGCCCGTCCTCAGGCTCGCCAGTCAGCGCTTTACCCGCTGAGCCTCTCCCAGCTCCTGCTTTCCTATTGAAGATCCATGTACGGAGTGTGATGCGCCGTACTTAGCTTTGGTTAGTTCTCTCATACAGCTCCTCTCCCCGTCTCGCTGACCCCTCTTGTGCTGTGCCCGTCTCCCCCAATGTTCCCTTTTCCACGTCCATAGCGCATTCTGCTTAGCCTTTGAATGTGTTTTAACAAACCCCTATCAGTGAGATTGCTTTCACACCGGGCTTTGAATCTTTCCGTGGTCGGGAAACACCAGACTTTCCGGCCCAGCCGCATCTCATGTCTCGGTATTGAAAACGTGAACCCTCCTCCCAGAGTCTGCTTCGCCTGGACAGAGGTCAGCACCCAGGCATTTATTTAATCCTCACAGGCCCTTTCAAGCCTGTGATTAAGCCTGAACAAAAAGCACCCGTGACCTGCTTAGAGCAAAGAGCCGAGCCAATAGTGGGTGGTGCAGGCCCCCCTCAGCTCTCAAGGGCTGGCAAATGTGCCCACACCAGGAAGCAGGCCTGAGTGGCGCCAGTGGAATGCCCTGCTACAATCTCTCACCTCAGGATACCTGCGGAAGAGATTGTTAGACCGTGGGGAGCCTAGGAGTCCCCTGAAACGGAACTCAGCTCTCCCTATGTGCAGACATAAATGTTATGGAGAAAAACGAGTCTGGCTCTGCTCGGCCGCAGCAAACACCGTTTAAGGTGGCAGCAGCACATTTCTGCAGTTTCCAGTACACCTGGGAGCAATCCCATCTGTTTGCTAACTTTCTTTTTTTAGCCTACTAGGCTTTGAGTGCTGGGGAGAAGGAGAGAGAGAGAGATCTTAAAGACCTTTGAAGAACAGAAGTTAAAATGTCAAGTGAGGGACCAGAGATATGGCTTAGCAGTTAGGAGGACTTGCTCTTGGAGAAAACTGGAATTCAGTTCCCAGCACACACGTGGTGGCTTACAAGTGTCTGCAACTCTAGTTCCAAGGAACCCAGCACCTTCTTCTGGCCTTCTCAGGCACCAAGCATGAACTTGGTGCATATTCATACATGTAGGCAAAACACCCACACACATAAATATATCCTCTTTTTTTTTTTAAGTCAGATGAAAAACGAGTATTGGGAGCAAGATTCTCAGCTAGGGCAATTTGGGAGAACGAGTTGCATGGGAGAATTCCTGGAAATCCGCGGGCGGTCATCTCCAGACAAGGGTGCCTGGCTGGCACTGCCTGTTCGTGATGGAGAGTACAGACACACGTCCAAGGCAGTTCACACGGGGCCTTAAAGAACAGAGAGAGTGCAGGCAGGGGAGCAGGCATAGAATCCTAGGTAGTGAGGCTGGACTGAAATGTCCTCAGGTGAGAACTGGCTGGGAGGAAAGAAAGCAAGCGCCATTGCTGGCTGCACGGAGTCTCCTGTTGTAAGGGATAAGTGCAGAGTTGGGTCAGGCGGGAACTCAGGCCAGGCCAGGTAATCTTGTTAAGGAATTAGGAAGTTACTTTTAGGCCATGAGGAAGGTCCACATCCTGTGATGTAAGGTGATGGCATCGCCCTGCTTCCCTTCTGGTAAAGAGAGCATCCTTGTGCAGAGAGAAGGGCGGACACAGCCTGAAGAGATGCTTCGTAGAGGAGCACGTGGTGTTTAGAGAGATGGCAGTGGCTGGGCAGAGGCAGTGGGGATGAAGAGGAAAGGTGGACCTGAGGATTTAGGAATGCTCAGTTTATGTTTTGGCATCAGCATCTAAAACACTCTTTTCTACTGTGTGTGTGTGAGAGTGTGTATGTCTGTGTAAAATCTGTCTAGTAGTCACAACTGACCTTTTGACACTGTGACAAATGTCACCAAATAAGTTCACACCAGAACTATGAAATCAAGTAGTTACAAAGGAAAAAATCCCATAAATTGCAACACACACACACTTCATAATGTCATAATGTTTTAAGTAGCTTCGTGCTTTGAGGCTGCATGCACAGCTGTCCTGTGTTGCTTGCAGCCAATGGGCCACAGGATGGACATGCCTGATAAACCTAGGACATAGGATATATTTTTTTAAAAAAATCTACCTTTGCAAACTTTTGCCCCAATGCTGTCTAAATCCCCACAATTTGTAAAAGCAGAGTGCCCACTGCTTCGTTCAAGTGCAACAGCAAACATGGTGAATGCATGTCACACGCATGCGCGCGCACACACACACACACACACACGGATGCATTCTGTTAGTGGCTGAGTGGTTTTTTTTTTTCAGCAAAAAGAAATGCAAGATGATTGATGAGAATTCAACATTCAAGAAAAACACCAAAAAAAAGCACAAAAATATATGGCTACACATATGTATATATAATATATATATAAGTAGATAAAATGTATACATTTTGATCTACTTCCTTTTAGTCTTTCCCCTTTTAATGTGTGCATATATAATTATGTATAAATGTCTTTATACAGCTTTATGTCTTCTATTGCATTTTATTGTAATAGTACAGTCAAACAATGAATAAAAATGGATGTGTTTAAAGACTACCCAATTTTGAATTTAATCCATCACTAGACTTCTCAGACTGGAGAAATTGCCTTCTCAGGACTGGAGAGATGACTCAGAGGTTAAGAGCACTGGCTGCTCTTCCAGAGGTCCTGAATTCAATTCCCAGCAATTGCAGGCAGAATACATATTAAATAGATCTCAAAAAAGGAAGGAAGGAAGAGAAATAAAAAGGAAAAGAAATGAAATTATTACATTCTCTCCACTTGCATCTGCCTCCCGACCTCCCTGAAGGCAGCCAAATGAAGGTAGGGCCTTAGTCTTACTAACCTGTCTTATCATTTAATTACAGCAAGGGAGACATGACCACATTAGCTAATTTTACACAAACACTGGAGGATGTCTTCAGAAAGGTTTTCATCACTTATATGGACAACTGGAGGAAGAACACGACGGCCGAAGAACAGGCACTGCAGGCCAGAGTCGACGCTGAGAACTTCTACTACGTCATCCTGTACCTCATGGTGATGATTGGCATGTTCTCCTTCATCGTGGTGGCCATCCTGGTGAGCACGGTGAAGTCGAAGCGGCGGGAGCATTCCCAGGACCCCTACCACCAGTACATCGTGGAGGACTGGCAAGAGAAGTACAAAAGTCAGATCGTGCATCTGGAAGAGCCCAAGGCCACCGTTCATGAGAACACGGGGGCAACAGGGTTCTCAGGGTCGCCCTGACAAGTAGCGAGGGTGCATCTGGTTATGAAGGGGTGCTTCTGCCCCTTAGCAAGTCCGACCTGTCCTTGCTCAGAAGAAAGCTAGCTCCTCTCTGTGTAAACATCTTCGCACTGATGATCCTGGCTGGCCAGCTGGCACGGGTGACATTTCTATATTAGTGGTTTACATGAGCCCATCGGGGTGATTCTGTGTTGAAGATCTGTTTTAGTTGCTACGCAATATAAATGTCATGTAAATCAATTTCAGTCTCGAGACTAGAGCCAAACATGAAGCGGAGGACCTGAGCAGGGGCAATGGGAATAGAAAGCAGAGATTTACAAATCCTTCAACCTTCTTTCTCGTATGAAATATTAGTTTGAATGTAGCAAACTCAATTTATGAATAAGTCAAATGTGTTATTCAGAAGCCAAGGTTTAAATCTCTCACAGGTTTGCTGAATGCACAGGCGAGCTTACTGATTCATGGGCACAGAGGACCTGGGTTCAATTTCCAGCACTGACATGGTAGCTCACAACTGTCTGTGACTCCAATTCCCGGGGACCCAACACCCTCACCCAGACATACATGAAAGCAAAACACTAATGAACATTAAATAAAAATAATTAAATAAAAAAGAAATTGGATTCCAAGTCAGAAAAATAATTTTTAAAAATATGGCATTTCTTCTAAACATCACACTTTTTACTTATTTTCAGTCCTTGTTTTATATATATCAGCTTATCTTCACACATGTTTGACAAGACCGAAGCTCTGAGAACTAGACAGTGGCTGCTTCATCCTTTGCACCATAGTGTGTGTGCATGGGGGTGGGGCATGGAGAGATGTTGGTCAAAGGTTACATAAAGGGGCCTGGGGTGCACACCATAACCCAAACCCTCAGGAGGCTGAGGTGGAAGGAGCTAACTGAGGTTCAAAGCCATTCAAGATCCATTGTACCATATGGCCAATAACAAGGCTTTCTTAAAAGCTCATCAGTGGCCGGACATGGCGATGGTGGCGCACACCTTTAATCCCAGCACTCAGAAGGCTGAGGCAGGTGGATCTCTGTGAGTTTGAGACCAGCCTGGTCTGCAGAGCATTCCAGGACATTCAGGGCTACACAGAGAAACCTGTCTCAAAGCAAACAACAAACAAACGGATCAGTGAGTGGATGTCATTGTCCTTACCTACACGAGATGCTACGATGTCAGCCACTTCACAATGTGTGCATTCTCAGAACATCGTGCTATATGCGTACATACAATGTAACCTATCATTAAAAAAATAAAATGAGCTGGCTGGTGGTGCACACCTTTAGTCCCAGCACTCGGAAGGCAGAGGCAGGTGGATCTCTGAGTTCAAGGCCCGTCGGCTCTCCAGAGCGAGTTCCAGAACAGGCTGCAAAGCTACACAAAGAAACCCTGTCTTAGAGGGGGAAAAAATGAATATTTTGTACCATGGAGTACATGGTACTATCATGCAAGAGCTGAAGGGCACCTTGGAGGTCACCTGTACCCTTCACCTACAGATGAGAAAACTGTAATCCATCAGGACTAGATGTCTTCTTCATCAATTCAAAGATGTGACGTTTATCTGCTTGGGTTCCCATCTGGGTCCCAGGGGTGAAAGGAGAGTGAGCTCCTCTGAGCTGCAGAAGTTCACACATGGGGGAGGGGGTCAGCTGTGCACTGGAATGTGAATGGTCTTAACAGAGGTCAGCAGGAAGTGGACACAGCCAGAGCAGAGCCAAGAGAATCAGGACACAACTGCTGAAGGCCGGAAGTCCAGGGCAAAGGAGGGACATGCTGGTCCTTACCATGGTGTCTCCATACCCCACATCTTTCCTCTGTCACAGCCAGGGCACAACGTTGCGAGCGAGGCTTCACACCTCGGAGCATCAAGACAAGGTTCAAAGAAGTCCATTTCTGTTGCCATATGAGATGACCTGACTGGGCAATTCTTTCAGGTTTATTTGAGGCCCTGTTTCTAGAGGCTGGGAAGCCTGTGAGAATGGGCACCCACATCTGCTAGGTTCCTGGTGGAGCCTCACATGGCTTTAATTTGTGGCAGGAAGGGGAAGGCCAAGCTAGCGTGTGTGTAGTGGAAACCACACACCAGACACAACCTCATTATAACTATGCGTGCCCTGGTGTTAATCCAGCCCAGTGAATGAAACTCCCTCCACCAAAGGCCATGGGTTCCTTTGGTGGGGGAGGGGTAACACCTCTTAAATGCCTCCCACATCTCAATATATTGGGGACCAAATTTTAATGTGAGTCATGGTGGCCACGAACCACAAAGCCAACAGCGTTTGTTGGTTGCAGAAGATACAACACAGAGAAAGTATCTGCTTCCTACATTTTTCATTTAACTACCAGAGATACTAAACAGTGTTGGAGGATTTCATATTCTAAGTGCAGATCTGTCATGAGTGGTCTCCTCCCTCAGACCAGAAGGCTAAATAAAATTCTGACACAGCCATCCTAGATAGCCTTGATCCAGAGATGCCAACCTGGGGCTCTATCTACACAGGGTTTCTACCCGGGCAACAGACTTTTCTTTTTAATCAGTCTCTAGTCAAGGCCCCTGAGCCTTCTCCCGACTAGGCCCCGGCCTTGACCAGTAAAAACTGCATATTCTTGGTACACATTATCTCATCGACCTTCATAGCCTACGAAACTTGCACAAACATCAGTTTTGTTTTCGTTTTGTTTTTTATCTAACACCTCAACGCCGAATCCTGGGGTTATCCCAGCTCCTTAAAGTACCTCCTGAGGAAAACAAACCACAGCCAGGGAACTGATTGCACAGTCTAGCCGCAATAGGCAGAGAGGCTGCTGGGTTCTCTTCCCACAATTGAGGAAGTACACAACTACAGATCTCTCTTTCCCTTGGAGGAATAATTCTTCTACCATCTAAAACTGTCTCTTAGAAATGCAAACGCTGACACCCTGCAGGGAGAATTCTTCCAGCATCTAGAAATATCTCTTTGAAATGCAAACATTAAGACCTCGCTGGGTGTGCGCCTTGCAGGTCTGAGTCACATATGGGGAATTTTTTTTTCTCTTTTAGAGCACAGATCACATGGGAACCCCCCCCCCACACACACACACACTGTTGGTTTATCTGTTACCCAGGAAAATATAGCGGTGGCTAAATCCAGAATTTCATTATTAAGCATATTTTATCATCAACACTGGAAGGCATAGTTACAAAGTGGAATGTAGTCTGTAATAATATTGGGGAGAACAGGAGAAATGCTATATATATATATATATATATATATACATATATGTATATATATTTCCTTAAGTAGTAGTTAATATGGTCAAGTTGACAGGTTCTAGACTCACATAGCGGATCAGCCTCCGGGCATGTCTGTGGGGCATCATCTAGATTGGGTTAAATGAGAGGCAAAGGCATACTCTAAGTGGGTGGCACCATTCCCTGGGCTGAGATCCCGGATGGAACAAAGAGAAAGAAGACCAAGTGAGCACAGGCCTCCTTCATGCTATGCATCCCCCTGGGGACTCGGGCCAGCCTAGACAAACCTTTCCTTCCCTAAGTGGCTTTTCCCAGGTGTTTAGTTTCGCTAACAGTGCAGACAACTAACACACTGGACATGCGTGTTGGCTGTCCAGGTATTCATCAACCTCCCCCTCCAGGGTCAGCTTCCACCAAAGCGAGGCTTTCCCGATGAAAATGCTCAAACAGCTGGTTCTATCCCTCCGTCCCTTTCAGAGTTGGTTTTTGCTTAGCCTGTGGGTCCCGCACACCAGATTTGAAACCATCTCCAACGGAGCAGGGCTGATCTGATTCTGGCCTCACAACCTGTGGCGAGCCCCCGTTCTGCCGCATGCTTACCTCTGAACAAACCATTCTTTGTGTTTCTATCTCGTCATTTGTGAAATGGTTATAAAGTGTGTCCTTTACAGGCCTCATAGATGTAAATTAGACAATAGTCTCGAAGTGCTTAGAACAAGGTTTATTTGTTACTTTCTCTGAAGAAAAAAAAAATCCCTTTTGGCACAACCAAGTCTGCTTTCGCCTCTGCTTGCTAATATGGTCTACTTTATCTCCACAAAGAAGCATAACGAGATTTGAACTTAGATTTCTTGGGTTCAAATATCCACCCTGTCACTGCAGGGTATTTGTAGGGCTTCTAATGACAGCACCGGGCATCAGCTTCCCCCTCTACAAAAGGAGGGGTCCAAGTGGGGAGCTCGGGTGGCTACTTTCCCTCTCCACAGCCTTGTCCAGGGCTGCTCCCTGTGCGCCTCCCCGCTCAGCATGCTTTCAGGGACCAACGGTTAGAAAAGAATTTGGGAACCTAATGCAGGTGTATCCTTCAGTTATCCCAAAGGACGCTGCTTCCATGTTGTTCCCATGGAGAAATGCTAAATCTGGGGGGGGGGGGACAACAAAAACAAACAAACTGGCGACCCGTTGTCCTCAGCTGTAGATAGAAGCAAGCTGACATCAGCCAATGTAGTGGAGGATGAAGATGCGCCGCGGCATGAACCAAGGACTCCAGGCCGCAACACACCTGTGGACCACTCTTAGGGGTCCGATTTGGATTTCTGCATTTCTCATTACCCCAGGTGACTTGCCCGATTCCCACAGTGCCTGCGTTTGCCTTAAACCCTGCACGGCTTCCAGCAGCGCTAACAGCACCCTAGACCCAAAGCGCTTGCGCCTCAAGCGGTGACCTTCACGCCGGTGCTTGCGTGCGGAGCGGTGCATTTCGGGATGTGTAGTTTCCCCGACGGGATTGTGGGAGTCGTGGCTTGTCAGCACCCGGCCAGGAGGCCCACCGCCTTGAGTTGTAAGTGTGTAATTGACAATTTGGGGCGCTGGGAGTCCCTCGGACACTCGGTGTTTGTGCTTCTCCCTGATGACACTGGCCGCGGCCACACAGCGCGTGGGAATTCTAATACTCCGGTCGCCTTGCTCTAGGCACGAAGGGATGGAGAGGCGATAACCCCGGGCCCTCTATTTCGCCCCTTAGTGGGGCGAGGGTT